GGAGAGGGAGAGGGGGAGGGGGAGGGAGAGGGGGAGAGCGAGAGCCTAGTCCAGTCTTCGTGCAAAAATATTGTACATGATGCATGTGCATGGATGCTGAGGAGATTGCTTCGAGATGTACAATCCGTCCAAGGAGGACATCGTTGAAGGGTTTCTGATATTGGCTATAGGCTCTGAAACTCCACAGCCCTAAAGTCCTGGTCCCAATAGTCCTAATATAAAGTCGGGCTGTAGTTCCAGTAAAGAAGTAAGTTCTAAGCCTCTACTATATAGGCTGTAATTTGCGTAAAATAGTAAGTTCTAAGCCTCTACTTTCGAATAAAGTAGTAAGTTGAAAGCCTCCACTAGGTTTTAAGCCTATACTCCCAGCCCACCACACCCCACCGTACACGTACAGTATAAATGCACACACGAATAGCACAAGCAAATGAACAGTTGTAAATACAAATCACCTTAGATGTACATATGCACATGGGCATTCCAAGAACCCTTTTGCCTCTTTACCTGCCTGTCTACCTACGTAATACATATCAGCAGCTGCGCATGTCTGAGTCAGGGTCGAAACCTAATGTAGGTGCCCTAATAATTAGAATAGTGTTTTGGGGCCCATTATACTATACATATAATAAGGAACCCCAACAATAACATAGGTAATTATTTAGGCCCTTACATTACTTAAGCTCTGACGACTTGCCCTATCTGCCCTGTCCGGTCTGCCTGTACCGGCTGTGTTGATGCACCATGTGAATTGCAAAGTCGGGTGGAGGGTCAAGGGAATCGAACTGCAGTTTGCTGGATGTGGGGAACACCAACCAGACCGTGTGATGTCTGCCAACTTTGTGGTATACAGGTTTGGGGTTTAGTGGGGTCATCCCTACACCCTAGATCCAAAAATTGCTTCACCCCTGAGCCATGCGTCTCAAGCCCTGGCCATCCGAAGTCCAAAAGCTACGCCCCATCTAACAATATCCGAAATCCCAAGCAGATGCCTGCAACCCGCTCACCCTCTCTCCCCAAACCCCTGAATCCCAACCCTAGTTAACTCAAAAACCCAAACCCTTCCATGGCAAACCCTGCGCTCTACGTCCCACCCTGCTCGAAACCGAATGTAGGGGCCCGAGTAATTTTCATACAATTCCGTAGGTTTCATAACCAAGACTACAGTATAGTATAAACTATGAGAACTAGGTTTTCGGGATATATTACACAGATTATACTGTATAATATATCCCAAAACCCTAACTCTAATTATTGAAGCCCCTATTTTAGGAGGCTGTGCTCTCAGGCTCAAGCTTGCGGAGACAAACAGTCGCCGGACAATCGCGTGCATGACCTTCTGAAGTGACTCTTAAGTGGGTTTATGCTCTCACAGCTTGGACATGCCCGGCGAGGCTCCATAGTCGCAGGTCGGCGTGAAACCAGTTAGGTCAACCCTAAACAGAAAAAAGTAGAAACTCTTCTAGGACTATAACGGGCTGATATATATATATATACACATACTTTCTTATTTATACTCATATTCATATGTAGTACCACAAAGCATGCGCAAACTGCCTCTTGGTCCACGCCCGTGGCCACTGCTCCATCGACTTTCATGGCTGCGAACCTTTCAAATTCAGGATCTCCCCACCAGGGGACCCCGAAACTACGAAGTGACTTAGCATAAGGTTTAGGGCTTAAAGGGTTAAGGGGGCCTTAGCGACTGGAAAAAAAATTCTTGGTTACAGTCTACCACAACTGGACTTTTACCTGGACAAGGTCTATAAGGGAATGGTATGGAATAGTATCCTTCGGACTGTTCGGTTCTCGTGAAAGAGGCGGAGGTGCTACTTAGGCACTTTCCTTGAGTGAAACCTTGAAGTACCAAAACTGGCACCTGAAGCTTCAGGAAACGAGGCCATGGACATCACATTCATGTCATCCCGTCAAAGCCACAGAGATGAGACCTGCAAGGCGAGGACTCCGGCCCACGACTCCTCAGCCCTAGCACCCGAACACATGCATCAAATCTGAAGAGCTGTGCTGCAGGCTTTTCCCAATCTTCATCAAAACGAAGATACCAAAGCTCCTCAGGATGGAAAAGTTCGGAGAACCAATGTTCCAAATTGGCGGAAACGCAAATCGCGACGGAGAAGCAGATGTTTCAGACAATTCTAGTGCGGAGGGATTCTCGAAAAGATTACTGTGTCAGAGTGCCAGGTCACCCAGAATAAAACGTGGGGTAGGCTTGACTATGCTCCGTTCAGGGCATTTCAGGATTCACGTCGGTATAAGTGCTAAAGTGGCTCCTGCACGGGAGGGGCCGCGTTTCGACCTTGGCAGGCTGCGGTTTAGGGGCTGAGGGTTTGAGGGTTTGTTGATACCCGGGATCATGACTAATATAGGGGCCGGTAATTATTTAGGCCCCTACATTACTCAGGATCCTGACTCAGTCCGGGCTTGCAGTTGACGAACCTTCAAGGGAAGACATCGCTATCTCCAACTACACTCTGACACCCTGAACCCTAAACCCACATTCTAGATGAAGGCCCGTTGAAGCGTTGCCTACTGCTAGAAATAGCTTAGGTTGAATATACTGGGAATAGGGTTTTGGGAACCATTATATTTTAATTCGAACGTGAACAAGTCAAAACTGCGAGGTGTGTCAGCAAAGCCTTAGACAGATTTGCTTCAGGGTGCCACCAAAAATCGCCCTGGGTGCCGCGCCACCCATGGCAATCGTCTTGTGAGAGGGCCTCGGGAGAAATGCTCCGAATGTGCAGGCTTTCTTCGGTTTGTAGTTTGATGCACAGCGAGATTGAAAGCCGTGGGCACATCCGAACCCAAAGATGCGTTTGCGAAGAAATGTATAAGCACGACGAGGGGTACGGAGGAAATCAGAAAACAAATTCGAAAACAGAGCAGACGATATCACAAAACACCGGACGAAATCCAAAAACAAAATTGAATACCGGACAGCCGAAATCAGGCAAGCATACACACAAAACTCCGAAAACCAGACGGACAATATCAGAAAACACGGTGAACAATATCAGAAAACAGGGCTCGCTTTCCATACAGGCAAGATCAGTATTTCTCACCTGAGCAAGTTCATCCAATCGGTTAGCTGCGATAGGCACATCTGACGAAGTTGATCCGATGCAGATTTCTCAACGATTATGGAAAAGTCGTTGTCAACCAATCTGAATTTGCTGATGTTTTCACAGTGTTTGTCATCTGAACAAGTTCATCCAATGCGGTTAACTGTGAAACAAAGAACGTTAAACAAAGACCGTTATTATCCCGCCCCCTCACCCATGCGGTTAACTGCGATAGGCACATCTGACGAAGTTGATCCGATGCAGATTTCCCAACGATCATGGAAAAGTCGTTGCCAACCAAAATGAATTTAACATTTTTTTTACGAGAATTCGAAGATGTCTACTTTCCATACAGGCAAGATGAGTATGTCTCATCTGAGCAAGTTCAACCGATGCGGGTAACTGCGATAGGCACATCTGACGAATTTGATCCGATGCAGATTTCTCAACGATTATCAGGATGGGTTTTAGGTTTAGGGTCGTATAGGGACGTTTTATTTTGCTTGGTTTTCTGAGTTTTTGGTTACATCAGTTTTCTGACTTGGTCTTTTCTGTTGTCCGATTTTGTTTTCTGATTCTGGGCTTGTTTTCTGATATCGTCGTCGCTGTTTTCTGATTCTGGGTTTGTGTATTTGAACGGGCTTTTTCGGAAAACGCCCTCTGGGTTTTCCGATTTTGTTTTCTTGATTTCGCCCGTCATTTTCCGATATCCTCTTCACTCGACAGCAGTCGCTCAACTAGCAATTAGGTGTCCGAGGAACCGACCACTCCAGCGTCATGGCACGCTCCTCCAGTGTGCGATCTTTGCCGAAACTTATTCCAGCACATTCCCTGGTGAAGGATTGCAAAAGCTCTGTTTACACTCTGACTGCTCGTAGCAGTTGATGAACTGTTAAGTCGATTTTGTTCCCGAAGCTCTTTGCAACTGGAAGTTACTTCAATCATTCTCCTCGCCAGAACAGCCACCCGTATGTCATTTCCGAACATGTCAAAACCAATGTTGTTCAGTTGCCGGCTCTCTGGCGAAGCTCTTATCATCAACGTGAGCCATCTGAGCTGGATTCACCGGTAGTTTGCGGCGCTCACAATTGGTGCGGTATCTTCCCGCAAAATCAAAAGCATTATTGGATGTGATGGACCGGCGAACCCACAGCTGGTACAATACATTGGCAGGGCTCTGCAGCCACTTTGCCTGAGAAAGCTTTGCTTTGGACACTGTGCATAGGGCTTCGGGCTTAGGGTTTGAGAGAGCAGAGTACTTACAGTTCAGGCATGGCTCTGCTGTTGCGCTCTGTTTCAGCGCCTGCAGCTTCCTCCTAGCATGCGGCGTTGCCTACAGCTCCTCCACGCCAAATTATATCCGGACACTGTGGCAGCGATGGCACTCACAGCCGTGCAGAAAACAATCAGTCGCGTAAGCACCCTGCCACCTGCTGTACGCAAGTGTCCAGTCCAATGGCTAAACAGACGCACACGATAATAGTTGAAGGATACGGGAGTCTTTCTTTGCAAGACAAGGCTGTCCAAGTTAAGCATCAGTTTCCTGGGCTGAGACAAGACGTAGAGTCTGAAAACCGAAGTTGCGCAACCAATCGGAAAGTATTGTGTTGGTGAAAAGGAAATCAAGCCATGCCATGGATAAGTTTCAGCATAGATCCAATAAGCCCATGATCATTACGGTCATCTGTCCTCTGACGTGCTCAAGACTCAAGACCCCGAGCCACTTTGGCTCAGTCAGCACAATGGGCTTGTCTTGATGAGGGCACGACAAGATGCCAGCAAAGTCTGGCACTTCACAAGTCCGGCACACCTATCTTGCAGCACCCCAGCTTAATTAGGTTTCAAGACTGCCCCTAAGTCCTAAACGCCGTAAAACCCTAAACCCAGTCAAAGGCTGCAAAGCAGACATTGGTGACCGTATCTTGGGATGGTCATCGCCGGACCAGCCTCGGCTCTTTAAGGGTTTAGCGCTTTAGGGGTGTAGGGTTCAGGGTTTAGGGGCCAGGGATTCAGGGTTTCGGCTCTCGGTTCAGGGTTTAGGGTGTAAGGTTTAGGGTTTAGGGTTCCAGGGTTTGGGTTTTTCAGGTTAGCGGAGTTGGAAAAAAGGAATTGAGACCTGTCTGTACACATGTATAAACACATGGCCGCATGCATGCATCGCTACATACGCATATCTATCTCCTAGATGGATAGATAGATAGACTGATAGATAGATAGATCGATCGATAGATAGCTTAGATGGATAGATAAATAGATAAGTTGATTGACAGGTTCATTGATTAGATAGATAGATAGATAGATAGATAGACAGACAGATAGATAGATAGCGTAAGTAGAATAATAGATAGAATAGAATAGACTCGAATAGAATAGCATCGCATAGAGTGGAACAGAAGAGAATAGAACAGATCAGATTAGACAGATAGATAGATGGTTAGATCGATAGACCGATAGATAGACAGCTGGATAAATTCATGGGTTAGATAGATAGATAGATTGATAGACAGATTCGATGGATAGATAGACAGATAGACTGGCTAGTTAACAGGTAGATAGATAGATAGATAGGTAGATAGATAGATAGATAGATACAGTTACTATCCATGTAGGCATGATATAGTGATACACCATGTCGGGGCTCGGGCCATGAAACGCAACCTTCCAGTGCCCTGCATGAATGGTTCAACACGCCTCTCCGACTTCCTGAACGACACCGTAAACCCTAAGCCCTAAACCGTCCACTTGCATGTGAGGCACTTGCCACTCGTCCAGCTCTGGCCTATAGAACTCTGTGGAGGAAAGGACGCTCCCGTTTTGGCCACCGCTGACCTGCGGAGCTTTAGGGTTCAGGCTTTGGGGCCCATACGAGGATGGAGAGGCTTAGAGCATCAAGCTCTCCAGCCTTCGGTGTCTCCGAGTTTTGGGGGTTTATGTGGGATTGGGCCATGGCTGGGCCATCGCTTGACAGGTGGGGTTGGGGTGTTTCTTGATTTGGAAGTGATCCGCGCGCGGTCGTTGAATGGGTCTGGTGACTTCCAAATCGTCCTGGATGTCATCGCTGGGCGGTCTTACCACCCTAAGTGCCTAAACCCTGTCCACTTGGGATTCGTCGCTCACTCTCGCACAAAGCCGGCAAGGCTCCACAGAATCCACAACAGGCGACTACTTGCACAGATGGGCTTGGAGAGCAGACAAACAACCAAGTGACATGTATGCACCGCTGAAAGTCGACATCAAACCCAATCTGAAAGGGCCATTGCCCAACTGCCCCATAATAGTTACCACATCTCCTGCGGCAGGGACACTGTCCTACCTGACAAAGAGGGCTTATGGTTAAGAGTAAAGAAAGCTTTAAGCACGCCGTTTGGAGGCCCACGCGGGCACACTAGAAGCATCCGCATAATTGGTAGCAGTATCTCCTCATTGTTTGTATGCAAATCAAGTCTACTCTAGCCCAAAACCCACTCTAGCTTTTCAACCCCCTGTAGTAGAACCACTGCAGTCTTATAGTAACTGCATAAGGTCACCAAATGACACTGCTTTTGGGGAGTCTCTCCCGGCACAAATGAGCCCTGTAGCCGCAGCCCCCGACTTCGCGTGTTTTCTTCGGGTTTTGGTTGTGGGTTTAGGGCTTCTGGATGTTTATAGATTTTTGTACAGGGTTTAGGAACAAGGGATGCTTTTTTCTCCACCTGTTCAGGCTCTTTGGGTGTGATTCGGGCTCTAAAAGTCCAGTCAAAGGAAAGAGACACACACTCACACTACGCATACAGACAGAAAGCCCTTAACCCCAAAGCCCTGAAGCCTAGAGAAGCAAAAGCACCAAAACCAAAATGTATTGTGTAGGGACCTTAATAATTAGAATAGGGTTTTGGTGTATATTATACTATAATTACAATAAGGAACCCCTCAAAATAGTATTGGTATATATACGTTTTTTAGGCCCCTATATTGACTACAACCCCAAAACCACATCTTCAGAGTCAACCGGGCCATGATCGAGTCGGAGATCACGGCTGCAGCAAAGTCCATTCTGGACTCCTGACATATGGGCAGTTCTTTAAATTAGGGTCCCTCTTTGGGTCCCCAATATAGTACGGCGCCCTTGTAAAAAGGACCGTAAAAGGGACCCCTGATCCCGATCCCTTAACGTCCTGATGTCGTCTACCCCTAGACTTACGTAGAGTCTACGGGAAGAGAGACATTTCAGCACCGAGATGCAGTTTTTTGTTTCCATGCGGTTTAGTAGTCAGAGGAGGGAACTTCTTCCCGAGGCTGCGTGGATAGGATCGGCCGATTTGGCAACATGAGTTTCAGGACAAAACCCTAAGCCTTAAACCCTGAAGCCCTAAACGGTTTAGGGCTAAGGGTTTTACGGGTTTCGGGTACATATTATCATGAGGTCGATGCTTGTCTTGAAAACCACGGCGCCGCAGGCCTTGTGAATCACAGGACCCTGAAACCCTCAATGCTGAAACACTCCTAAGCGACAGGCCCCGAACCCGTAACAACAAGTAGGAGGTCCAGCGTGAACATGAGGTTGCTGGCTAATCGACCTGCCATCCCATGAAACAGATCAAGACCCTCAATTTAACGCCAGAACATGAGCCACACACCCGCACCGTTCGCCTGCATCGGCGCACGCAGGCTAAATCGGTTCTCATCCGGGTCGAGACACTCGGCTGAGAAATGGATCCTGGACCACTTATTGGGGGTTTATGGCTTCGCGGCTGCTCTGGGTTCGTCATGAGTGGGCCGCAGCAGTGGTGTGAGGCTGACAACGGCTCTGGCTTTTGCCTGTATCTCAACCAAGCAGCTGAAATTAGGTTCCTGCGTGTCTCGAATTGGTGGACGAAATAATGCCAACGGCGACTATACTTCATCGTGCGAGTCCAAGCCCTCTTGTGACAATGAGCCATATTGAGGACTTCAGCCCCATCATCAACACGATATACTCCTGCAACATGCTTGAAGTGTTGTGACGTTCGGTGGCCTTGCAAACGTGACAATGATACTCTGCCTACGACGATTCTGCTTTCTGTTCTTCCAACAGAAAAAGGGTACCGAAACCCTAAACCGGGTACTGGCTCAGTGCTATTGCAACGCCGCTTTCCTCTCGTCGGTTAGATCTTCAGGATCTCCCGCTGTCTACTTGCTCTACTCCACACGGATGCGCAGAGGGGTACAGTAGTTCTCTAAATCAGGGTGTGATATTGGGGACCCAAAAAAGTACAGCACGCTTATAAACAGGACACGTAACAGGATCCCATTTTTTGACAGTCTCTAGCTCCTTCCGAACGGTTTGCTCCGTGTTTTCAAACTCTCTGGTTTCTGTCGAAATTCTCTAGTCTGTTTCGAGCAGTTTGCTCCTCGTTTTCACTTTTTCAAGTCTCTTTTGCGCGGTTTGCTCCTTGTTCTGACATTCTCAAGTTCCTTTCGAGCGGTTCCCTCCGTGCTGTCAAACTCTCTAGTCTCTTTCGTGCGGCTTGCTCCTTTGTTGAAATTCTCAAGTAGCTTTCGAGCCGTTTGCCCTTTGTTTTCAAAATCTCTTGTCTCCTTCCAAACTCTCCACCCTTTTTCGAGCGGCTTGCTGCTTTTCTGAAAATCCCTAGTTCCTTTCGAGCGGTTTGCTCCTTCTTCCGAAATTCTCTGGTCTCTTTCGATTAGCTTGTTCCTTGTTTTCAAACTTTTTAAAATCTTTCGAGCGGCTTGCTCCTTCTGCTGAAACTGCCTAGCTCCTGATGAGCGGCTTGCTCCTTGTTTCCAAGTTCTCCAGTCTCTTTCGAAA